GAAGCTGCTGTGCAGAAAGGCCACGTCGGCTGCGCGGCGGGGAGCAGTCTCACACTTCTCGCCTGTTCTCCTGTGTGCCAGCGTTTGCAAGTCATTTGGGCACAGAGCAAGTCAGATGAGGCAATCCAGGGGAAAACTATTTCTTTCCTTTTTACTGGGCTGTTCTGTAGTTGGATCAGTTTCCCTAGGGTGGCTGGCTCATCTGGGTGGTCATGTGAAAATAGCTCTGGGTGGTGAAAGAGGAAGGATGGAAACCGAGGACCGAGACGGTGTGGCAAGGAGGGACAGGATCCTTTCAGCAGATGTTTTCATTCATGCTTGAGTAAAATGGTCTTGTGTTACATTTTTGCCTGTTTATGAACTGGCTTAGTTGACATGACTGTTGAAATAAAAAATCCTTCCCCGAATCTGACCTGGTGAGGGAATCCTGTCTGTTTTTTCTGTCTGTTGCAATGATGCAGTTCAGAAAACAAATCCAAGGGAAAAATAATTACCCTTTCCCATAAGGCACCCTGGTACTGACTTAATTTTTGGCGTAATCAGTTTTCCGTAAACACTAAAAGGAGATGACTTCTTTTGGCAACAGTGTTGGTTTAGGGGTTGTTATGTGGTGGGTTTTTTGGTTTTTGTTCTGTTTGTTTTTCAAGAACTCTGTGAACTCTGATCATTGGAAGTAAGTAGAGAGAGAGCCCTATGCTGTTTGGGTGATTTCGGGGAATTTTCACGAAGCAACAGATCTGTGTGACATTGAGCGGTCACCCAATACTGGAGAAAAAACTCTGTGTCACCCATAAGTGAAATGTCGTCTGTTTCTTTTTGCCGTGCAACTTCATCAATGTTTTGGGGTATAAAATGCATTTCCCTTTAGCCAGCAACCTTCGAAAAACACTTGTGTGTGCACCCTGTGTTTGTAAGTGTGTTCAGAGCCTTGCAACATCACCAGGCTAGACTGTTCCTTCTATTTTGGGACCCAAAGCAACAGAGCTGTTTTCAGTCAGTCCAAATGCTTGTGCTCGCAGATGTAGAGAATAAAGCAGAACTGATACCTCTGGGATCTTAACACCTTCCAGCTGGTGTTTTATCAGAGGGGAACCTGCGTGTGTGTACTTGAGAAAGAGGATTTCTGTCATCGTGTGACCATTTCCGAGAGGGACAAAAGGAGGTTTAAAAATATTGAATGTCTTCTTGCTTCAGATGTCATTCCTGCAAAATGGTCACGTTGATATCCAAATCTTCTGTTTCTGTTGGGTAACGAGATGCAGTGTACACAAAAGACCCTTTGATTTCTGAGTTGAGAAGCTGAGTTGATGCCGTATGGGCGAATGTTGACAAAAATGACTGATAAAGTCATCATGCGTATGTGTAGAATTGCTGTCTTTATAGATTATCAGACCAAAACAGCAGAAAAAGTGGAATTCCTATCAAGCTTGATATTAAACAAAAAGTTAAATACTGCTGACTTGTTTTGCTCTTTGCAGTCAGTGGTTTTGGAATCGTATTTTAAGAGCTCAAGGCTGTTCCAATTTGGTGATTTTTTTTTTTTTTTCTTTTTTCCTTAACCAGAAAAAGCCACTGTCCTCAATAATAAAAGAAGTCTGCGATGGGTAAGTTCTGCCATATAGTACATATTAGACACCATATGTTTTGGAGTTATTAAATTCACCAGGAGATATTTTTTTCTGAAGGAAATCTAGATGTCCTGTATGACTGGTCATTAGTTTCTTAAATCTTGTAGTTGTTTTATCTTCAGATTTTGAATTTGCAATGTGTTTTGGATCAATTACTTGCAAGATGAGGTTCCTAACAAAGCAGCTCCAACATGTGGGTGACTCTCATCTAGACTGTTTGTTGCCTTTCTGCACAGACAGGTGTTTTACCCACTCACTCTGCGCTTGTGATCCCTGCAGTTTGTGGGTTAAGGAACTAAAGCACTGACTGTGGCTTTGATTTTTTGAGCGCTGGATCTAGTGGCTACTGTAAACTGGTGCAGTTGATATGATTGCTCACATGTAACAGATTTTAATCACAAGTCCTGCAGTATGAACTAATAATTGGCTAAGAGAAATACCTTGCTTTAGTTTTAACATGTTAATATTTGGGGACAAAAATGCTGTTTTAAACAAGTGCTGTCACAGAGGAGAAACTAGTTTATATTCATCAAATTGCTGCTGAGTTTAAAAAGGTGGTATTTTATGCTTAATGTAATACATCAACTTAATACTGTATGTGTTGGGTATTGTATGAGCTAGCATAATATCCTGATACTGTAAAATTTTTTGTCTGTTTTAATGATTTAATGATCTTGCTTACTGCAAGCAAAAATTATTCTTGCTGTTTTTTATACATCTGGAATTAATATCAGATCATGATCAACTTTTATTTTTGGAGCACTGAAGTATCACTGCAGGGACAAAGTAGTTTCTCTTCTTTCTCCTCCCCTCTTCTTTTTATTTTGCCTTGGAAGGAAGGTATTTACGTAATTTCTTTCTCCACCATGGTCAAGTTTAGGGCTTTGTTTCAGTTATGCAAAGGGAAAATCTCATTTATAGGATGTATTTGTACTGAAGTTTTGCCCTTGTAAGCATGTTTTTATTTTGAACTTTGGAACTCATTGTTGAAAGCTTTGGGTAAGTAGGAGAAATATGCAGGAATGACAGGCACTTGTTTGATCATAGTAAAATTATGTAAAGGGTAGTTTTTGACCTTTTAAGATTTAATTTTTGATTAATTTATTTTCATATTTCTAAGGTGGTCTCTTCCAAATCATGATCAATTTGCACTGCAGCATGCTGATAGTTCTAATTTCTACATCACAGAGAAGGTAGGTAAATCATTCAACACAATCCTTGCATAGCCTGTCAAAATTCTTGCCACAATAATTTATTTTAATTTAAAATATATACAAACATAGAGTATTTTCTGTAATGCGATGCCAATGAGAAGGTAGGTACTGGAGACCTGGTTTAATGATTTTGCACCGATTTCTTCGGTTTGGAAAGGCAAATAAAAGTTTGTATGTGCCAAAGCCTTCAGGTCTGAAGAGTACGAGACTTCAGCACTGAGCCCGTCAGCTTTAGTATTTGTGCAGTTTTAGTATTCTGCTGACAAGTGGTGTACAGGAAATTGAAATACGTAAAACACGAAGGGCTCTTTGAAGTCTGAGGAGACCTTCAGTGCATGTCACTTCCCTCTTTGGCTGATCAGGTAGAAAGAAGTTTCAGAGACTGTGTAATAATTGCTACTCCTTCCTGCCTGCTGTCTCGTCCTTTTCCAGTTTTGTATGTTATGTTGGCTTATTTTTTGGTCCCCAGATAGCGTGGCAATAGGTGATTCATGAAGTGATGCAATGATTTCAGCACAGAGTAACGAAATTGCTGTAGCTGTAATAAAAATGGAATGTCTGGTCCAAGTAAATGGGGCATGCTCATCTGAACAAGACCAGGTAGTTCACTTATTCCTAGCATTACTGATAGAATTGCCGAAATTACTGAAATGAGGAAAAAAAAAATTCATTTATTTGGAAGACTGTATATATTAGTGCTGCAGAAGTACCAATTTCTAAGCAACGGGAAGAGAGCACTCTTCAAAACCTGCTGAAGTCTGCAAGCAGATTGCCTAACCTCAGTGGATTTTGAGCTAAATAGACCTGCGTTTAGCTGCACAAACGTAGATGCCTCTGGTGTACCTTGTTATCAGTTTAGCTTGGCTTACTCTGAAGTGGAAGGGTCTTTTGGTTTGGGGTTTTTTGTGTGGGTTTTTTTTAGTATTTTACAATTGTTTAGGATCTGCTAAACACAGCTGAGACTTGAACTAACTTTTCTCTTGCTGTAATTCTTCCCTCACCCAAGAAGTAAAGGGAACTTAGGCACAGTTAAGTGTTTAGAAAGACTAAATTTAGCAAGACAGCTAGAGCAGTTGCTCATAGGATAGTGCTGCTTTTTTTTTGTTGCCTTTTTTTTTTTAGCAGACCAGTTTCCGTTTTTCATTTAACTGTTTGTCATCCCAGACAACCTTCTCAACGTGTCAGTGTTTTGAGATCTCCCCTTTTTCCGCTTGTGTGTTTTTTTTCTCCTTTCTTTTCAAGTTTCAATTGACAGACACTTCAAAGGCCACCACAAGGAAAACTGCTGAAGTAATTATTGGCTGCGGTGTTTTGCCTCCACCCAAATTAAATAGTGAGACTGGTTTGCTAATAGCTTCGAATTGTGACACAACATTTTCAAATAAACCAGACACAATTGAACTTGCCTGTTGGCATTTGAACTCTTAATTGTACAGTGAATATTTCCAAGAAGCCAAGACTGAACGAATACTTGGGCTTGTTGAAGGAATTTGTCCTGATAGGGTTGGAGGTATCTTCCTGCTTTGTCTCCACCTTTGGTGTATAGGCTCCTTCAGATCTGGAGAAGTGTTTTCTGTTCCACGGAAAATGAAGTCTGATGGCTTTTGGCTGCCTTTAACTGGAAACAAGGGTGGAAAATGACGGTCTTCTAGAACATTTTGGATTGTACTGCAGAGAGGACTTTGAGTTTGTTTATTCCCTACTGAAAATATGCAGAGTGTCTGACTCTGAGTCACATAAATAAGAGAGAAAAGCTCTAAATGCCACCAGTATTACTCAGATGTCTGTGACTTTTATTAGATATTGTTCACTGTTTATCACTGCTTATTGGATAGTGGCTATAAAGAGAGGCTTATATAGGCCGTCACCCCTTCTGCATACTTTCCCTCATTTGTGTGCAGTAGGATATTGTTGCTTTCCGCATTAAAGCATGAAAAACACCAGGCATGAAGACAAACACATGCACTTCAGTGAAGCTACAACACTAATTGCTGAAGCCCACATTGCTTTAATCTGCCTCTTACTAGGACATCAGCAGAGCTCTTTTGCGACAGTGGCAGCTTCTAATAAGTAAATATTTTTCACTGCTCTCGAAGATGAATTGCAGGTCCGTACAAATGCAGAAAACATTACGTATAGGTCATGTTTCTGCAGAGCCTGGGTGACTGCTGGTTTGTGGCCTTCCAGGTAGAGATGTCTTTTTAAAATATCACCGTGTTCAAAGTTACCAGAAAGAAAAGCAATTAATGAATTCTTGTGCAAAGTAACGGGAAACTTTGAAAGTGAAAATGTTACAAATGTGGGACTGTCAACACATGGCATACAATTATATTTTTGGTTTTGGGTGGCAAACAGCGCATCTGTGTTTTGGTTGTCATATGCAGAGCTCTCTATCTTTTGTAGCTGACCTGTATTTCCCGATTATACCATACATAAAACAAAACAACACCCAAGAAGCCCTGTCTCTTACTTTTTTTTTTTTTCTGGATGTATTATTTGGAAAAATGCCTCTACAGGAGTAGCAATAACTCCTTCAGACAGTATAAAGGTGGTCTGTTAACCAATCTTGAGTCACCCAGGGTTCCTACTAGAGATATGGCTTATTGCAGCAGATGCAGTTTGGGCTGCTGCCTCTGGGGTTCTGGTTTGGCTGTCCCCGTGCTTTTAATTACAATAATAAGCGCGTATTTTTTTTAAAGGCCTTACCTATCATGGAGAGCCATTTCTTTGGTAGGTCAAACACCTAAAAGCCTGACTTTTGAATCAGAATTTCATTGTGCTGTACTGTATAATAGAGAATAAAAAAGTCACCTTTGCTTCACTCTGTCCAGGTTGTACCTGAATAGATGCTTGTGTGCGTCAGGCATAATAACTCAGGAACACGATAGCCTGGACGAGCTCAGTTTTAGAACAGAAAATGCTGTATGAACAGTAGAAAATGGGTGTGTAATTTTGTGTGCTCTGTGTGTTCCTGGGCTGAAAACCATAGCTTGGATATCTGTCGACTGTGTTCCTCTGCTGGCAGCACAAGGGATCCAGGGACAGACACCCGAGGGGCTCGTGCAGCGTCTTGGTGGGTATGCCTGGTCCCTTGTCGCTGCTCACTCTTGGCCTTGCAGACATGGTCTGGCTCCTCTAGATCCACTTGTGCATCTGCAGATCCCACCGTAGGCTCTGGGTCTGGGCGGGATCGTTATCACCACAAACTCGGTCTCTAAAACCAGAAAGACGGTGAAGGAGCTGTTCCGATTACAGCACAGCTCAAAAATGGTTGTTTTGTCACATCTGAAGGTGCGATAAACTAGAACGTTTATCAACAAGGGGGCCTTGCAGCAGTGTGGGGCTGGGGAAGAACAGTGTTCAAGGTTGCTTTGCTGTGGGACGCAGAGTGTGGTGGCTTTTATCCCTGCACCAGAGCAACTGTCAGGAATAAAAGGCTAGCTCGCTCTTGCTGAGGGGCTTTGTGAGCCAGCTCTGAGCTGTGTTCGGCACAGGGTGATGATACTGGTGCCATTTTTTGTGTTATCTATTAATCAGAAGGACATTTCATTCATCTGTTTACTGACTGCAGTCCATTTTTATTCTGTCACAATTTCATTGTGTTCAGTTTTTTACATCTGATGCCTGTGAAGACTCCCTGTGGTTTTTCTCCTTCGTTCCTGACTCCCACATTTCCCTTTCATTCTTACATGTTATTGCATGAAGTGGAGGAGAGCAGATGCTGAGTTCCCTCCGTTAATTTTGAGAGACTTTTGTGCTATTTTGAGATTGGAGCTGCCCCCAGCTTGCTTTCGTTGTCATTACTCTGCTGTGTTTGCAGATAGGACGTCTTTCTAGCCCCTGCCTTCCCTGAGCTGGAAACCTGGGTAGAGTCCCTGGTGTTTGTTCTTTCTCAAAGGTGCTTTTGCTTGTGACCTGTTTTTTGCTGAATACAACCTGTAATTGTATATTCGTGTGAAACTCCACCATGCTCCCTGCGTGGGAGTGTATGCAAATGACAGGACAAGAAATGAGCCACTTGGAGGGTAGGGGTTTTTTGGAGGTTTTTTTTACTTTCATGTTTTTAGTATTTTTTCAGTCTGTTTTCACTGATTAGTTGAACTTCAGTGAATTGGAGGTAAGCATTCTCATAATGAAGGTTTCTGATTTGCTGAAGGACCTGGTACTTCATAAACAGCTGAGAATGAGAAGTAGCACGAAGGCTGGGAACAGGAGAAATGTATTCAGTGATCTGTTCCTCTCATTTGAATTTTGCATTACTCTTGATAATACATTTGTTAGTAATGCTACATAAAAGGCAGATGCCAGTCCAGATTTGACCTGGACCAAACTATGCCTGACTTTCCCTTTTCTCGGTCAGCAATAGGACATGGGGTATTTCCCTCGTATTCACAAATTTCTTACGATTTTGGGGCATCTGCATAGCCCTGCAGAAATTCCTAGCAGTAAGGGCAGCACATGGAATCAGAGTGGCCGTGCTCCTGCCTACTTGATGGATTCTGGCAACTCTGCCCTGCGGACTCCAGTAAAAACTAGTGGCACTAGTATATTTCTCTGGTGAGCAGAAGTAAAACTCAAGTATCTGTACGCTAAATCATTTTCAGTCCTGCTTCATTCAGGCTGATTTCAAGAACAGTGGTCATCCTTCTCTTAGCAAATTAGTCCTAGTTTTTAGGACTCCTTTTGTAGGATTTTAGGTTTATGTTCAGTTTTCCACAGGTTCTGTCAACCTGTTAATACTTTCTGGCCCCAGCATGAACGTCTAAATTCTTCTGCTTGCCTTCTTTTTAAGTATTTGGTACGGCAATATCTGACATTTAGTTCCTTAGTTCCACGTCAAGGCTGATGGGATGGATCAAGTGTTTTTTTAGAATGTTGTATATGGATATTTATTTTCCAGAATTTCGTTTGTAATTTTGCCTCACGAATAATCACTAGAGAGGAGTGGCTCTGAAATGGTCTGTCTTTCTGTTACAGCA